GCTTTAGTGTTTAGGAATAGGGTTTAGCGCTAAATCCTAAAGCTTTAGTGTTTAGGAATAGGGTTTAGCGCTAAATCCTAAAGCTTTAGTGTTTAGGAATAGGGTTTGGCGGCTGATTTCTGGAAAATCGGAGGCAGATTTTGGAGTGATAAATTCTGTTCATAAAATGTGCATTTTAATTAGGGCAGGGGCCGATCTTGGGGTTCCGCCCATTCTGGTGCCTAAATCCTAAAGAATTGCGCTAAATCCTAAAGCTTTAGTGTTTAGGAATAGGGTTTAGCGCTAAATCCTAAAGCTTTAGTGTTTAGGAATAGGGTTTAGCGCTAAATCCTAAAGCTTTAGTGTTTAGGAATAGGGTTTAGCGCTAAATCCTAAAGCTTTAGTGTTTAGGAATAGGGTTTAGCGCTAAATCCTAAAGCTTTAGTGTTTAGGAATAGGGTTTAGCGCTAAATCCTAAAGCTTTAGTGTTTAGGAATAGGGTTTAGCGCTAAATCCTAAAGCTTTAGTGTTTAGGAATAGGGTTTAGCGCTAAATCCTAAAGCTTTAGTGTTTAGGAATAGGGTTTGGCGGCTGATTTCTGGAAAATCGGAGGCAGATTTTGGAGTGATAAATTCTGTTCATAAAATGTGCATTTTAATTAGGGCAGGGGCCGATCTTGGGGTTCTGCCCATTCTGGTGCCTAAATCCTAAAGAATTGCGCTAAATCCTAAAGCTTTAGTGTTTAGGAATAGGGTTTAGCGCTAAATCCTAAAGCTTTAGTGTTTAGGAATAGGGTTTAGCGCTAAATCCTAAAGCTTTAGTGTTTAGGAATAGGGTTTAGCGCTAAATCCTAAAGCTTTAGTGTTTAGGAATAGGGTTTAGCGCTAAATCCTAAAGCTTTAGTGTTTAGGAATAGGGTTTAGCGCTAAATCCTAAAGCTTTAGTGTTTAGGAATAGGGTTTGGCGGCTGATTTCTGGAAAATCGGAGGCAGATTTTGGAGTGATGAATTCTATTCATAAAATGTGCATTTTAATAAGGGCAGGTGCCGATCTTGGGGTTCTGCCCATTCTGGTGCTCAAATCCTAAAGAATTGCGCAAAATCCTAAAGCTTTAGTGTTTAGGAATAGGGTTTAGCGCTAAATCCTAAAGCTTTAGTGTTTAGGAATAGGGTTTAGCGCTAAATCCTAAAGCTTTAGTGTTTAGGAATAGGGTTTAGCGCTAAATCCTAAAGCTTTAGTGTTTAGGAATAGGGTTTAGCGCTAAATCCTAAAGCTTTAGTGTTTAGGAATAGGGTTTAGCGCTAAATCCTAAAGCTTTAGTGTTTAGGAATAGGGCGCTAATAGGGTTTAGCGCTCCTAAAGCTCCTAGCTTCCTAAAGCTTTAGTGTTTAGGAATAGGGTTTAGCGCTAAATCCTAAAGCTTTAGTGTTTAGGAATAGGGTTTAGCGCTAAATCCTAAAGCTTTAGTGTTTAGGAATAGGGTTTAGCGCTAAATCCTAAAGCTTTAGTGTTTAGGAATAGGGTTTAGCGCTAAATCCTAAAGCTTTAGTGTTTAGGAATAGGGTTTGGCGGCTGATTTCTGGAAAATCGGAGGCAGATTTTGGAGTGATAAATTCTGTTCATAAAATGTGTATTTTAATTAGGGCAGGGGCCGATCTTGGGGTTCTGCCCATTCTGGCGCCTAAATCCTAAAGAATTGCGCTAAATCCTAAAGCTTTAGTGTTTAGGAATAGGGTTTAGCGCTAAATCCTAAAGCTTTAGTGTTTAGGAATAGGGTTTAGCGCTAAATCCTAAAGCTTTAGTGTTTAGGAATAGGGTTTAGCGCTAAATCCTAAAGCTTTAGTGTTTAGGAATAGGGTTTAGCGGTAAATCCTAAAGCTTTAGTGTTTAGGAATAGGGTTTAGCGCTAAATCCTAAAGCTTTAGTGTTTAGGAATAGGGTTTAGCGCTAAATCCTAAAGCGTTAGTGTTTAGGAATAGGGTTTGGCGCTAAATCCTAAAGCTTTAGTGTTTAGGAATAGGGTTTAGCGCTAAATCCTAAAGCTTTAGTGTTTGGGAATAGGGATTAGCGCTATATCCTAAAGCTTTAGTGTTTAGGAATAGGGTTTAGCGCTAAATCCTAAAGCTTTAATGTTTAGGAAAAGGGTTTAGCGCTAAATCCTGAAGCAGATATTTCCCCGGCGCGGATCATACGATTAGGCCAAGAATCCTGCACTCAAAATCTTGTTCCGATAAATCTGAAGCAAACGGGTTTGGACATGAATTTGGACTGAAATTCTGTTTCTCGATGGATTCGGACAGAATGCTTTCCTGAACTTCAAGCGACTGGAACACCTAACGCAGATATTCCCCCGGCGCGGATCATGCGATTGGGCCAAGAATCCTGCACCCAAAATCTTGTTTCGACAAACCTGAAGCAAAAGAGCTTGGGCATGTATTCGGACAAAATGGGAAGTTGGATAGATTCGGACAGAAGGCTTCTCTGAAGTTCAAGCGACTGGAATATGTTGGCTCGAACCTAAGCAATATCCCCCCAACGCGCATCATGCGATTGGGCCAAAAATCCTGCACCCAAAAATCTTGTTCCGCAAGCCTGATGCAAAACAGCTTGGGCATGTATTCGGACAAAACGTGAAGCTGGATAGATTCGGACAGAAAGCTTCTCTGAAGTTCAAGTGACTCGAATATGTTGGCTCGAACCTAAAGCAGATTTTCCCCCTGCGCGGATCATACGATTGGGCCAAGAATCCTGCACCAATAATCTTGTTCCACAAGCCTGAAGCAAAGCGGTTTGGACATGTATTTGGACCGAATCTGGGGCTCGATAGATGCGGACAGAATGCTTTCCTGAAGTCCAAGCGGGTGGAATATGTTGGCTCGAACCTGAAGCAGATATTCCCCCGGCGCGGATCATACGATTGGGCCAAGAATCTTGCACCCAAAATCTTGTTCCACAGGCCTGAAGCAAAGCGGTTTGGACATGTATTTTGGCCGAATCTGGGGCTCGATAGATTCGGACAGAATGCTTTCCTGAAGTTCAAGCGGCTGGAAAATATTGGCTCGAACCTAAAGCAGATATTCCCCCGGCGCGAATCATGCGATTTGGTCCAGAATTCCTGCACCCAATATCTTGTTCGAGCAACCTGAAGTCAAGGCTGGGGCATGTACTCGGACAAAATATGAAACCCGACAGATTCGGACAGAGTGTTTTCTGAAGCTCAAGCGGCTGGAATATATTGGCTCGAACCTAAAGCAGATCAGATATTCCCCCGGCGCGGATCATGCGATTGGGCCAAGAATCCTGCACCCAAAATCTTGTTCCACAAGCCTGAAGCGAAGGGGTTTGGACATGTATTTGGATTGAATGCGAAGCTGGATAGTTTGGGTCAGAACGCTTTTCTCAAGTTCAAGCGACTGGCTCGAACTTAAGGGGGCTCCAGTTTTCCACACGGTTAGGAGCAAGATTCCTGTATCTTCAAAGAGCCGCAGCCAGTCGTGACCCAAGCACAGACAGTTACGCTACGGTCATGATCTGCCGTCGCTTCCTTTGCCGGCACCTGAGCCGGGTGGCACCGAAAGTTGAAAAGACCATGTGCCCAGTCATAGCGGCAGGGCTTTCCACGTCGTGGGTTGTTGGTTTAACCTCGGACAAATCGTAATTTCTATGCTTTAGCATAGCCTTCTGGCTCCTGTAAGCCAGCCGTCACGTACCCTCAAACAAAAAAATTTAAGATACTCACCCTTAGAATGCATGCATTGCTGCAGCACTCGCGTCTTATACGACCGCATGCATTGCTGCAGAACTCGCTTCTCGTACCTTGCGAAAGAAAATACCCTCCGAAAGAAAAAAAGAGTTTAGGAAACTAAACCCTAAAAGGCGGAGCTGGTTAAGGGTGGGAGCCGCCCTTTATGGGCGCGGGTGGGAAAAGAAAAACTGGAGCGGCCGACCCAAGGCCCCAGTCTCCGAAGCTCTCATGCGCACTCCGAAACCGAAACAACTCTCATCGGAATTGGGCGCCCAAGCGGGGTGGCAACGACTGCTGTGCCTTGCGTAAACCCTAAACCCTAAACCCTAAACCAAACGCGCACCTGGTGCGCGTCGTCCTGCCCAAGGTAGATCCTACAATAAAGCGAGAAATGCAAGGGGCCTCCATCTGCATTTCGAGCCCAGTACTACTCAGAGAAGGTACCACCTAGAGGAGTACAATAGTAAGAATAATTACCCTAAACCGTTGGACTTTTGCTCGGGTCCTCCGTCCAGTTGGACTTTTGCTCGGGTCCTCCGTCCAGGGCCCGGAACTTTTGCTCGGGTCCTCGGTCCAGGGCTCGGAACCGTCCCTGAGCTTAGGATCGAAAAATGGACCCTCGACTGCTCGTGTGTGCCCAAAGGGGTCGAGGCCACATTCTGCAGCAAAACAGGGCCGTTCTTTATGTGTGCCGCCACTAAACCATCCGGTGTCCATGTGGGCCCAAAGCGGTCAAGGCCACATTCTGCAGCAAAACAGGGCCGTTCTTTTCGTGTGGCTCCACTAAACTCTTCCCTGCCCTCCAAAAATCTGGAGAATCGCTGCTGATTTTGCCTTGTTCAATTCTTTATATAAAATGTGCATTTTGATTCAAGTTGGCCAACGGCTGCTTCAGGGGACCTTTCGTCGCTGGAGGCTTCTGCAGGTGCAGCTCGTTTGCGATCTCGCAGCTGTGCACCGACCGCCGGAAAGCCCCTTCGTTGAAGCCAATCCGCCGGAAGCCAGCTGCGCACAAGCTCGAAATGCCCGGCTCCGTGACCGGCGCCGTCGACAGTCAGGCAGTGCTCCACCTCGAAACCGACCGGGCCTTGCCCGTGAATCACAGGAAAAGCCTCAGGGTCTGTCGACGTCACCAATATAGCGCATCCAAAGGCTTCGCTGTAGGCGCCGAGTTCCTGGTCGCCTGACAAGTAGGTAGTATGAAAAAAATGCGTCACCCTTGCAGCCTTATAGACATTACACAGGCAGCGGGTTCCTAGTCGACCAGTATGCAAGTTCATTCCGTTTCCTGGCCTGGATGTCCTCCGGCTTCGAGACGAGCTGCCAGCCTGTGTTTGTCTTGTGTGCGGAGCAGCATCAGGATGTGCATGAATATGTTCTCCGCAGCCTCCTTGTAATTCTGCTCGGCCACGACGTCCTCGATGAAGCCCAACTCGCTTCTGTGTAGTCGACTCCACGTCGCGGGATCGCATGCTGCCAGAAATGTGTACAGCATGCACAAGCCGTCGGGGGGCACCGTCAGGCGGCGCTCCCAAACGTCCCCGCCCATGGTCGCCAAGTCCCTTCTGCGTGCAGGTGGCAACCTCATGTGTGCGAGCAGTACCCCTTCGGGCATGTCGAAGCCGGCAGGGTTCCACAGATCTGCCTTGTTCTCTTGCGCCGGCTTGGGCGCCATGTCCGCGGAGTCTGACTAACCGAGCGGCTGCAGCTGCTTTCAGCCGAAAGTGCCACCTTGCACGCATCTGTGGCTGACCTCCAACATGTCGATGCGGACATGAAGCATGCACTACGCAGAGGCACCTCACTGTGCTCGCGGGCCATCCGTTATATGCACACAGTCCGACATCCGCCCAAGCAACCCGGGCCTTGTCTGTGCCGTCCTTTTGGCGCACGACGGGTACCTGCCGCGCAAACAGAGGAATGTTGCTGCCGCGCCCCTGGTGCTGCAGCGACTGCTTGCATTTGCACCGTGGGGACAGAGAAGAGCCTAACCACGCAAGTCGCGCAAGAGAAGAGTATAGTCGCAGAAGTACGCAAACGAGCGGGTCCATCCACAAAGGTTGAGCGGTCCTAAAACCACAACGGTGGGGCGCCTGTTCCTGTCATGCCCCTCCTGTCCGTGCAGTGAGATGTTGAAGGTGGTCCTAAAACCGAAACGGTGAGTTCACGACTTTAGTTTATGTTAACGCTTTTACTGTTGTAGGACGTTCGGCGATAATTGTTTCAGGCTGTACGACATCCATGCACGCCCCACCGATTTATGTTGGATCAAAAACGTTCCCGCCCGTGACGTCTGTCCAGAGTCTAACCCCACAGGTACGGCAATGGAAGAGTCTGCCATGCCAGTAAAGTCTCACCTATCGAGCGGCTGCAGCTGTTTCCAGCCAAAATCCGCATCTGCATGCATCCGTGCCTGACTCCCAATATATCGACGCGGATATAGAGTCTAACCACATAAAGTCCTGTCAGAGAAGAGTCTGACCGCAAGAGTTGACAAGATAAGAGCAGACACCGTTACTGCTGTCCGAGGGTGCGACCGCGATGGTTCCCGTTTCATCCTGTCGATGGTGTCATGCGGACTGCTCCGCGACTGCGACCAGCCTAGCCTGCCAGATGGTGTTCCATTCGAAGGCCTCGGCTGCAAAGACTTCCGTGCAAGAACCACAGAAGCCCCAGGCTCTTGCGGCGTCGTCGTCCACTTCCGCCACAAAAAAAAAATGGGCCAGAGAAGCGTCTGACTGCAGGAGTTGGGAAGAAAAGAGCACACACCGTTACTGCTGTCCGAGGGTGCGACCGCAAAGGTTTCCGTTCCATCCTGCCAATACTGTTATACAAACTGCGCCACGATTGCGAGCAGCCCAGCCTGCGAAAACGGTTTCCATTCCTGCAGCGCTTCACGGCCAGGCTCCCCATTCGCCGTTCTTGGCGGCCAGCGAGTTGGTATTGGGCGTCTGAGTCGGAAAAGCTTGCAAAAGCTCACCTATCCAAGTAGGGCACATCCAAGTCCGTTATACCTGGAGCCGGTCAGGCCGAGTGCATGGGAGTGCATGCACTTCTTTCACGAGCAGCGCTGAAGTCGGACGGTGAGACACACGGGAAAACGCGCTGCACAGCTGGTATCTGTCGCGGCGTCCAGAGACATTTCTACTCAGACCTCGCAAGACAAGCGCGCGTCCCTAGGATCTACTGCTCAGACGGGACCCCGGAGTCAGGGCCGGCAGCAGCCTGTTGCAGCGACAGTCTTGTAGCCATCCTAGTCCACGCCGCGGTGATACGGTCCGTGAGGCCCACGCCGCGGGCGCGCCGGGTCCCGGCGGCGCCAGGCCCGCGCGCAGCGCGCCTCCATGTCGGAGCGGGCGGCAACGCCCACAGCGTCCTCGATGCGCGCCAGCGCCGCCCGCCGGCCAGGGTCGTCGAGAGCCAGGAGCAAGTGGGTCAGGACGCCGTCCTGCCGGTCGCCGTAGAGAGTCTGCAGAATGGGAAAGTCGCAAAAGTTGCATTGTTGCGACTCGGCGTCCACAGCCGGGAGGGCGCCGCCGGCAGGTCCGCAGGCGCACGGGCTGTCAAGGCGTCCGAGGCAAGGATGACCTCCATCGAAACAGAAGGGGTTCCATTTGAGCCGCAAGGCCCATCCGCGTCCAGGATCGATGGGATCAGCCGGCGGAGGCACAGCCATGGCGAAGAAGAAACCCGGTCGACGCGCGAGAGAGCTAGGGACAGCAGCTGCGGCTGCGGCATCCGTGTCAAAGTTTTGACGGCCATGCAACAGGTTGCGTGCGGTTGCAAAGACAGCAAGCAGAGTCGGACTTTTCTTCGCGAGCGGGCGAGGACTGTAATGCCGAAGCGATCAGCAGTACATTGCTGACGGAAGGACTGGAACTATTCCCACGTCGCCCGACACTGCGGTCTGGCCGCCGACTCTGGCCGCCCCGGCGGACCGAGGCCACTGCGCCGTACAACTCGGCAGGGGTGATGGCAGCGGAGATCGTGTGCCTCGCGTCGTCTTCACCGAGCATAGAGTCTAACCAGATAAGAGTTGGACAAGAGAAGAGTTTTTACTATCCGAGGGTCCGACTGCAATGTTAGAATCTCGAGGCTTCTGCGAAGAGGTCGCTGACTCCGCAAAACGAAAGAGTCCATCCACAGATGCTGCATGACTTTTATGTCCGTGCAGTGAGGGATTCAGGGTGGTCCTGAAACCAAAACGGCGGGGCGCCCGTTCCTGTCCTGATCAACGTGTCTGATTGAGGGTGATCCTAAAACCAAAACAGCGGGGCTCCCGTTCCTGTCATGACCTTCCCGTCTGTTGCAGTGAGGGTTTGGGGGTGGTCCTAAAACCAAAACGGTGAGGCGCCTGTTCCTGTCATGCCCCTCATGTCTGTGCAGTGAAGGTTTGAGGGTGGTCCTAAAACCACAACTGTGGACTCACAACTTGAGTTTATGTTAATGCTGATAGTTTTCTATAATCTTCGGCGATAATAGTTTTAAGTTGTGCGACATCCACGCTCGCCCCACCGATTGATGTTGGATCAAAAACGCTCCCGCCCGTGACGTGTGTCCAGAGTCTAACCCCGTAAGTCGGGCAATAGAAGAGTCTAGCCGCGGAAGTATGAAAACGAAAGGGTCGATCCACAAAAGTTGGGCAAGAGAAGAGTCCAACCACAGCAGCCGAGAACGAAAGAGTTGAATGACATAAAACGTTAGGCCAGAGACGGGTTGACCGCAAGAGTTGGATAGGAGAAGAGCACACTCTCTTACCGCTGTCCGAGTGTCCGACCGCAATGGTTTATTCCATCCTGCACATGGTGTTATGCAAATTGCGGCATGATTATGAACAGCCCAGCCTGCCAAAACGGCTGCCTTCGAGAGCCTCGGTTGCCAGGACTCCAGCGAAAGCAGAGTCGAGTCAGGAAACGAAAGGTCTAACCACCTTCATTGACTGCGTTGTGAACCTTGCACACATGTTTTCACTCTTCTGCGCAGCACAGTCGTGCGGAAGTAACGTGCGTGTGCACATCTGCGCTCGCTTCCACGGAGTGCACATGTCTCGCAAAATCGATCCTTGCTATCGTCCAAGCGGGGTTGCTTCCCAGTCCGATGTCGAAGATACGCGTCTCGACTTACAGTGTTCAGGGAGTACCATACCAACGATGCTACACTACTGCATTGGAGGCTGCGCCACTGTTGCTTGGTTTCTCCTTCGATTAATTTCAGTACTACTGATTGTCTCCCCGGACTCTCGCTATCCTTTGCGAGCCATACGCACTCCGCTGTCGCCGTCCGGGACAGGGCCGGGGTCTGTACCCGCTGTGCTTGGTTACCCGGCCACTGGTCCTCGCCGGTCTACAATGTCCAACTCACATCGGCATGGCATCGCCTGTCTCGTTCTTCACCAGCACGCCTTCCCATGCGTCTGCCTCATCCCGCTCCTTTTGAGCTCGATAGAGCCAGGATGTCGTGAGCGCGGACCGCCGCATGGGCAGCGGAACGCCGCGATAGCGCTCCGGCACTGGCGACTCCGGCGTATGGCACGCCACGCCGCGGTGATACGGTCCGCGAGGCCCACGCCGCGGGCGCGCCGGGTCCCGGCGGCGCCAGGCCCGCGCGCAGCGCGCCTCCATGTCGGAGCGGGCGGCAACGCCCACAGCTTCCTCGATGCGCGCCAGCGCCGCCTGCCGGCCAGGGTCGTCGAGAGCCAGGAGCAAGTGGGTCAGGACGCCGTCCTGCCGGTCGCCATAGAGAGCCTGCAGAATGGGAAAGTCGCAAAAGTGGCATTGTTGCGACTCCGCGTCCACAGCAGGGAGGGCGCCGCCGGCAGGTCCACAGGCGCACGGGCTGTCAAGCCCTCCGACACAAGGATGACCTCCGTCGAAACAGAAGGGGTTCCATTTGAGGCGCAAGGCCCACCCGCGTCCAGGCTCGATGGGATCAGCCGGCGGAGGCACAGCCATGGCGCAGAGGAAACCCGGTCGACGCGCGAGAGAGCTAGGGACAGCAGCTCCGGCTGCGGCATCCGTCTCAAACTTCTGACGGCCATGCAACAGGTTGCGTGCGATTGCAAGGACAGCAAGCAGAGTCGGAGTTGACAAGAGAAGAGCACACACTGTTACTGCTGTCCGAGGGTGCGACCGCAATGGTTCCCGTTTCATCCTGTCAATGCTGTCATGCAGACTGCTCCACGATTGCGACCGGCCTGGCCTGCCGGATAGTGTTCCATTCCAAGGCCTCGGCTGCAAAGACTTCCGTGCAAGAACCACAGAAGCTCGAGGCTCTTGCGACGTCGTCGTCCACTTCCGCCACAAAAAAGTTGGGTTGGGCCAGAGAAGCGTCTGACCGCACGAGTTGCAAAGAAAAGAGCACACACCGTTACTGCTGTCCGAGGGTGCGACCGCAATGCTTTCCCTTTCATCCTGTCAATGGTGGTATGCCGACTGCGCCACGATTGCGTACAACCCTTGAGTTTATGTTAATGCTTTTAGTTTTGTAAGGCGTGACCACAGCCTCAGCTTTTGGCAAGGTCTTTGAAAGTGCTTGGATGAGTAATGCTGCTTGGCAATGAACTTGTGAGGAGATTCAAGTCATGACATGTAACAGCTCTGCTTGCTGTCGTAAAGCGATGGCGTGACCGCAGCCTCAACTGTTGTGGGCAGTGAGCGAAAGTTGAGCAAGTTTTGGGTTCAACTATGCTTCGCTGGTTGATACCAGAGCGAAAGTTGAGCAAGTTTTGGGTTCAACCATGCTTCGTTGGTTGATAGCAGAGCGAAAGTTGGCAAGTTTTGGGTTCAACTATGCTTCGTGGTTGATACCAGAGCGAAAGTTGAGCAAGTTTTGGGTTCAACCATGCTTCGTTGGTTGATAGCAGAGCGAAAGTTGGGCAAGTTTTGGGTTCAACCATGCTTCGTTGGTTGATAGCAGAGCGAAAGTTGGGCAAGTTCCGGGTTCAACCATGCTTCGTTGGTTGATAGCAGTTACGGCAACAGACTGTCCATCTTCTCCTGCAGCACCGGCCCGAGCAAAGCCGCACAGTCTATGGAAGCGGCCGCGAGGTTGAGCCCCATGGTGGGGCGTCGGAGTAGCTCGCAGCAGTCAGCATCCAGAATGGCCCTCAAGGCTTCGGGTTCCAGCGCCGCTTGTGCAGTGGACTTTTTCGCGCCCAACATGAGAGGCCTTCCCCTTTCGTCCGGATAGGAACGCAACATCCACTTGCCCAAGAACTTGTACAAGTCCACACGCTTGACGTACTGCGACTCTTTGGGTTGCTCGCCGGCCTTGCCGGCCCCCTTGCTTCCGCCCTTCGCGATTCCGCGACGTCCCATGATGCTCAGAGCGAAGGACTAAACACGATGCTTGGAGCCAGATTTCTGCAGCGCGGTGATAAGCTTTCCCGGCAGTAACCAGACCAAGCGAGGCAGCACGCCAGGCACTAGAAAATTGCAGCCGGCTACGTACAACGTACCCGTGCCGGACGGCGGTGAGGTTTCTTGTGAACGTATGCACTGCTCACGAATCAATCCAATGGCACCGTGCAGCACAGGAACGCCACTCCGTGCAGGTCCATTTTTCCTTGTCCTCGAGTTGACCTCTTTGCCAGCGGATGAGGATTTCCTCACGCTGCCTCATTGGTCACCCGTGGCTACCTGGTACCGACAGCTGCCTACCACGCAAAGACACGAATGCTGTTGCCACGTTCTAATCTCCAACCAGCACGGACCTTCTGCTTCATGACTGTCGAGCCGTGCTCCTCTTCAGCAAGGGAATCAGCAACCGGCACTCCGTGTCTGCGACAAGCCTTGCATGGGATGGCCACTCCAGCCTCGGCGAGCTTAAAGCTGCCTGACGCTGTTCTATGTAACGAACCCACCTCGCACCTGGAGTCAGTGGAACTCAGCGGCCACCTGAAGCCAGACGTTGGCAGCACGAACCGTAGTTGCTGTCCGAGGGGCTGACCGTCATGGTTGGTGTTCCAAACTGCTATTTTTCTGCAAACTGCGCCACGATTGCGAATAGCTCAGCCTGTCAAAACAGTTCCCAGTCCAAGCCCTCGATTGCAAAAAATTCTGTCTCACAGCAGCTGAAAGACCCCATGACGATATCGCTTTATGACAGCAACAGCAGCTTTCTAATTTCTTTGCGATGACCGTCCAGTCTGCAAGCTCATCATCTGCGTGATCGGGGATCCTTCCTGCCGCTTCAAGTGCACTTTCTGCTCTTTCTTGATTCACCTTTGTTCAACTACTATCTTCACCGATCCATTGCTAGAACCAACACCGTTCTTAAAGTGCCCCTGGTAAAGAAAACAACACATGTTTTAAAGCTGTCGTCGATGGCTGTGAGGTGCTGGCTCTGCCAATTTTCTGCCCGGCCTGCCCCCCCCCCCCCGCCCGGTTGCAAATGCGTTTGTCTCATAGCAGCTGAAAGATCCCATGTCGATATCGCTTTACGACAGCAACAGCAGCTGTCTAGTTTCTTTACGATGACCGTCCAGTCTGCAGGCTCAAAATCTGCGTGATCGGAAATCCCTCCTGCTGCTTCATGTTTTTACTTTCAGCTCTTTGTCGATTCACGTTGCTTCAGCTACTATCTCAACCGGTCCATTGCTACAACCAACACATGTTCGTAAAGTGCCCTTGGTCAAAAATACAACACATGTTTTAAACCTGTCGTCGATGGCTGTGAGGTGCTGGCTCTTCCAATTTTATGCCCGCCCTGCCCCCCCCCCCCACCCTCCGCCTGCGAAACATAGAACGACGTTGTCCCTATGACATGCCGCTAAAGCGAAGTCGCATCATGAGGCTACCTTCCGGCTCTAGGTGAGATATTGATCTACCTTCGCCCGCTGCGCAGGGCGGTTCTGCTCCGTCGCAACTGACTCCTGCCCTATGAAAGTTCAGTACATATAGCATCTACTGACAGCGCATCCAGCAACTGATCAAGAATCCCTTGGCCGTAGCACACTGGCAAGCACGCCTCCAACGATACATCACGAAACCGTTGCGGCTGCGGTCACGCCTTCGTTTCACGATAGCAACCACAGCTGTCAAGTTTCTTTGCGATGACCGAGAAGCTGAAAACCATTCACCAACAAGGCTGCCAACTCCGTAACGACGTCGCTTTATGATAGCACCATCAGCTTTCTGATCGCTTTGCGATGACCGTCCAATCTGCAAGCTCCTCATCTGCGTGATGAGGAATCGTTGCTGGTGCCTCATCCTTTCACTTTCTGCTCCACCTTTCTGGAGTCACATTGCTTCAAACATATTCAGATGTTTCTGTTCTTAGGCCCCGAACACATCACGACATTGATACGAACCACCAAGAACTTAAGTGGTATGGCTCAAATTAAACATACTTAATTAACTTCAAAGTAAAACGACGCCATGGATTTGCTGCAAAATACACATTATTTGGCCGCCCCCCCACCCCCCGTGTGCAACATCGGATCTCGACTGGCTGGTGTTCGCTGCTGCAACCGGACCAGTAACTGCCCAGGTATCACATCAATGCCATTTCCTCCGAATCGGACCATCACCGGTATGATCGCCACAGCAAATTTAGGATTTAGCATCGACGTACTAATAACGTGGAGCTTCGTCTACGTGAGCGCTAACTACACATGCATAACGGCTGGATAAATTACACAGTGGGTAGGCTGGCAGCAGGTTAGATTTCATGTCACTCCCAGCGACCACAACACAATTGCGTTCGCGCCTGCTCGAATCCGCGATTGGCGGTTCGCCGACATACAACTTTTATTACCTTCGGGGAGGGGGTATGGAAGAATAGTCCCCGGGGTTTTTCGAATAAAAAAACCCTAAACCCGTGAAAGGTAAAAATTTGGGCGGTTTGGGGTGGGCTATCAAATGCAAAGACGGCGCCCCCCCTGCGGACACATGACCTGGGGGGGGCAGCCGTGGCACTGTAGAAAACCCTAAACCCCAAACCCTAAACCCTAAACCCGAAACCCGAAACCCTAAACCCTAAACCCTAAACCCTAAACCCTAAACCCCTGGACCCAAAGCCGGAAGCCCTGAATCCGAATTCGACCCAGAAACTGGGAGGTTCATGGGGTGTTATAACAAGGGCTTCCTTTAAGGGCCCGTTTAAAGGGATCTATAGGGATTCTATAAGGGTATAGGGTTTAGGGTTCGTGGGGGGGGGGGGGTTATAAGTAGGGTAACTATACTTATACCTCCTATTAGGGGGCTTGTAACCCGACTTATAATTGCCAATGAACCTCCAAGAACCCTCAACCATGATCCTGCCGCGAGCCTCGACTCTGAAACTCAAGACCCTCAACCTTAAACCAGAGTAGAAGCATACAAACTAAGAATGTGTACTGAAGGGGATTAGGAATGTGTACTGTGGAGAACCCCTACATGCCTCTAGTTCATCAAACGGATATCACAAGAAATAAGTCCGAACTTCATGGCTGCTGCTTTAAGAAAGACTCAGGCTTACTAAAGGTGCGCTATATAAACAGCAATTAATAGAACCCTCCATATCCCAGCGGGTCCACACACACACTGCCATTGTGGAACTAGATCCCCAAAAACCCTTCTAGTCATGGTTTTGGGAGACCGAATTCCATAATAGCAGTGTATATGGACCCTCTTGGTATTAAACCCTAAACCCTAAACCCTACACCAAAAGTATCAGAGGGCCACGAGCCCTAAACCCAAAAAGGAAAAGCTACGAAGCCCGGGGCCCCTGGCCAGCGAGGGCCACACTGCAGCCGCGATAAAGCCTCAAGGGCATGGGAAGGAACAGCCTCAGGGTTTAGGGTTTTAGGGTTTATGGTTTAGGGCATGGGAAGGAACGGAAATAATATAGGGCTTTAGGGTTTATGGTTTAGGGCATGGGAAGGAACGGAAATAATATAGGGCTTTAGGGTTTATAAGGCATGGGAAGGAGCAGTAATAACATAGGGCTTTAGGGTTTGCAAGGCATGGGAAGGAGCAATAATAACATAATGTAGGGCTTTAGGGATTACATAGGGTTTTAGGGTTTAGGGCTCAGGGTCTAGGGCATGGGAAGGAGCAGCAATAATACAGGGCTTTAGGGTTTTAGAATAGGGCGTTGGGGAAATGCTATAAATAGCTATAATGAGAAACCAAAGGAACAGCTTTAGGCTTCTCTGTTAGGCCTTTAAAGGCTCATGGTATTAAGTTTTGCATTGAGCTCTTAGGATTTCCAGAACCATTAGATTCGGGATCCGTCGTTTGGTAAGCTCGTGTTCTTCTTTTTCGGCTCACTGTTTCCCAGCAGTTGCTGGCTTGTGTCCCCGAGCCGTAACCTTGCAGCCTGCACCCCAAACCCCTAAACCTTTTGCAGCTTGAAAGTTAGAGGATCACTTCAGTGTCTTCCGTGTACTGGGTAGAGCCCGGCTTTGACTTCAGCACTCACGGTGTCTGCAATTCCTCACAACAGGTCCTTCAAACTATAAGAAAACAGTTCCTTATGGCCAGATAGAGATAGCTATCTATATCTATCTATATATCTATATATATCTATATATATCTATATATATATATAGATAGAGATAGCTATCTATATCTATCTATATATCTATATATATCTATATATATCTATATATATATATATCTATATATATATATATATATATATATATATATATATATATAGCTATCCCAACATCCTAATACCCCAAACCCTTCTGCACCCGTCTGCTCGGTCTCTGGCCGTAGCCCACCGGCCGCAGCTGTTCGGCAGCACTGGCGGCGAGTCCTCAAAGGTTCGGGCTCTGGGACTCGATTCTCGACAAACCGCAGCGTTTAGGATAGGGCTGAGAGTGCGGGATTCAAGGTGCGGTTTTGAGATAGTTGAAGCCTAGGGTTCAGAGTTTAGGACAAGCTTTTGGGCGTGCCAACATGTCCTCATCTTCTTGTTCATCCAACTGGACGGATTCAGGGCTCTGGATCAGTGATCGGGCATCAACTTTGCATGTACGAGTTAAGGCTTTGCGGCTCTACTGGTTTGGTTTACATGGCTCGAGGACCAAGCTTCAGGGCTTGGGGTGTAAAGTCAGTGAGGGTTGAGCGCCCAAGCTCGGAATCGAAATTTGCAGCTCACGGTGTCGACAGAATGCGGAAGATCGTGCGGAACATGCCCTGAATCCGTACTGTGCTTGCCTCATGTGGCCGGCCAAAATTCGAGACGTTGCTTGCATCGGCGAAGAGAAACCATGAACCCGAGCCTACCAACCTCAGACGTCGGGTTCAGGATCCTCCAACCTGACGCACTGAAACTGTCGCTCTTCAACCCGGGCGATATCCAGACTGAATTCTCCAAGCTTTCTCCTTAACCCTAAACCCCAAACCTTAAACCCTACCCCCCTCGACCATGACCAGGATGTTGATCCTAAACCCTTAACCCTAAACCCTAAACTCCTAAACCCTACCCCCGCCCCCAATGACCAGGATCCCGGAGACCGAAGCGCCCGAGAGCGAGTTGCCCAGGGCTGCTAATGCAGAAGCACTACCTTGACCTGCGGTTGATGATATAAACCCTGCATTACCCATAATAAGGAGTATACCATAATTCCCCGAGTTTAGGGTCAGTATATGATGATGCAGGATTTATATCATCAACCTTACCAAAACCTACTTTTATTGAACTCCATGTTAGAGTTTAAATTAAGAACCCACCAAAAAAGGATGTCAGGGTTGTTTAAAGTGGTCCATAAGGGCTCCTTCTCACGTTTAGGGGTTACGGGCTTAGGGTTTAGGGTTTGGGGTTATAATGTGCCCCCATGCCCTATTCTGACTGTTAAGGCCCTCTTTCTCGAACCCTAAACCCTAAGCCGTATATCTCCAAGAGTCTTCAGGCAATCCAGTGGGTAGAGGGCCAGCTCAGTCGTCCTCGGGAGCTGCATGGGGAGAGCTTTATGGCTCAAAGCCCAGATATGCTTGCAAGTTGGGTCTAGGGTTTAGGAATTTAAGCTTTAGGGTTTAAGGTTTAGGGTTCAAGGGTTTGGGGTGTGGGGTCTAGGGATTCTGGGGTCCCAAGGAATAGTGATACTAATGATTCAGGGTTAACGCATAGAAAAGTCGCCACTCTCGTTGACAGGGCCACCATCGAAAACTTCACAAGCATCCCGAAACCAAGCAACATCTGAAGCGAAACCAAAACTCTTTCCCCCTGAACCCTCCGCAAAACCAAAAACTACCTTTCTGCGGGAACGGTGTTATTGTGTCCGCCTCGGCCTGCGTGCCAGCATTGACTGGGCAAACGAACTGCTCGATGCAGTTTTGGTACCTGACCTCGTCTATGGCCGCCAGCTGGCAGAGAATCATCTGGGAAGCTGCGTTTGCAGCTCCTGCTGCGTACGGATTGATGCGCTCGACGAAGTACTTGCAGATGCCTACAGTCTTCGGGCTCAGAGGTTCAAGGCAAAATTCAGTGTGCAGGGCTTCGGGGTTTGAGCAATCCTCCAAGCTAAGCCCTAAACCCTAAACCCCTAAACCAGGCGTTTAAGCTCGAGCCGAGGGTAGTTTCCTTTTTAGGTCCCCTCGCTCGGAGCTGGAACCCTAGCGCGGCACAGGAGTGCCCGCGTACGGCAGGCCACCGAGACCTCCGGTCAGTGGCAAACAACGTGCCTACCAGCTGTACGCTTTGCGAGGCTGGCCTGGCTTTACTCCACGCCTAGGCGTCTGGAGGGACTTTGGTCCTTTTTCGATTTCAGTCTGGTGTTTATGAGCTTGCCGCTGGGGCGCAAGCTGACCATATTCTTCTGGACTTTTTGTTTCGAGCACTGCAGTCTCAGTGGCTCGCTTTACACAGCGTCGTCGCCCTCCGGCGATCAGGGTTTTAGAACCCAGCTGGCACCGGCGCCAGCGACGCAAGCGCACTCTGGGGCGCACCCTCCTACGAAGTTGGTTGAGTGGTGTGCCCGCTCCTCGTGTGGAGCTGGATCGTGCAGTGGCCGCGCTAGCCACTCATCATTCCAGGAGCACACTAGTGGACCAAGTGCAGCAACAGCTCGGCTCAGGAGCAATGCCTCAGCCGTGGCACTGCAGCTGTGGCCAGACGTGCAAGGCTACAGCCACTTTCTGTCAGGGATGCGGCAGGACGTGGGATCAGAGCCAGTATACAGCGGATGCTACGCCGTCTTCACCAAGGAACCGGAGGCAGCAACCGTGGCAGAGGCCACGGTCACCTCGAGGCCGTGGACATGGTGGATGGCAGCCATCTACCCCAAGACAACGAGGATGGCCGAACAAAGGCAAGCCCAAGGGCAATCCCAAAGGTCAGCCCAAGGGCAAGGGAACCGGAAAGCCCGTGCAGGGCAAGGATGCACCGCCGCAGGAGCCAGCCAATGCACAGCAGCTCTTGAACCTCCTCCCTACGGCTCCACAGGGCTCTTCGCCGGCCCTCCCAAGTCAGGCGCCGCCAGGGGACCATGCAGAGAAATCCAAGGATTTCGTGGACCTGGTTGCCACTTGGAGTACAGGCCCTTCTGGAGACGCATATGGCATCGAATCACAAGATCGAGGCAAGGGCGATGCACAAGCTCGTCCACCAACAAGGTCAGGCAAAGGTCGAGCTATCGAACGTGCGCAAGTCACGCGCACAGTTCCTACAAGAATGGCACCTCTACTTGCAGAAGCTCACGGACCTGTTGACACAGCAGGTTCAAAAGAAGAATGCCTCCATGCAAGCCTATGCGGAGGCAGAGGACAAATGGGAACAGCAGTTGCAGGCTGCATCAAAGGCCATGCAGGTTGCATCGGGAGCACCCATCAATGTTGCCTCCGACGACGAGGAGCAGCTCGAGGCACAGGAGACCGAGGTGATGCAGGATGTCAGCGAGGATGCCGCCAGGCAAACGGCAGCGGAGGCTGCCACCGAGAGGGAAAATGCCCTCATGGCTGCACTCGCTTCCACGACAGAGGCTGCGCACACACAGGCGCAAGAGTACAGGGAGCGCACGCCAAGGCGCACCAAGGGTGGGCAGGGCGCTCACGGATTCTCGGCGCTTTCATCGCAGCAGTCGCAGCCCAAGCAGGATGCCAGCAGGGAGCCCATGGAGACGGCCAAGGAGACGCCCCCTGGCAAGGCCCAATAGCTTGCTTACGAGATGTTATTGGGCCGGATACTTGTCCCCGGAGGATTATTTCTTCTGTGGTGAGTGAGGCGGATTGTGTAGTGGAATTTCAGGCACCGCTCTTAGCGCTTTGCCTGGCTACGGAAGTTGCTCTCCTGGACTGTCCAGTCCCGGAGAACCCGTTCGAGGACGTTGACCCCAGACTCTGGACAAACAGTACATTTCTGAGTGGTTGCGATCTTCGAGAGGCCAGCGAAAACGGGGGTTCGCTGGCTTACCGGTGTTCCAACTGGCCTCATGGCACTCGGACAGTTGATGCCACTGATGCAGCCAATGGGCCCCCAAACAGCTGTGCTTTTCGAGATACGGTCACAGCTGAGGAATGGCATGTAGATGCCTGTGTACATAGATGTAAGTCGGACACGAGCGAGGCCTCTCAGGCCCTTCGGACAGCAATCCCTTCCTTTACAGGGCATGCCACCAACATGCACTCGTCATCGTTCCCTTTGCCACTCAGGGTTACATTCAGCGGGGCTTTCAAGTTTTACAATGCCTGGGCGAGGGAGATCGCCCGGATACAGCGGTGCCCACAGCAAAGTGACATGGCCTTGGGACTGGCTGCATTAGCTATTGCTGAAAAGGCTCATCGCCGCCCATTTGCCTCCGAGACGGCAAGTTGCCAGACGGAGGTTGTTCAACGGTGTTTCAAGGACGGTTCCCTGTCGAGCCTTGACACCAGAGCCCATCACAAGTCTGTTGACGTACAGTGCTTCAAGGTCGGTTCCCTGTCGAGCCTTGGCACTACATCTCTGGACGATGTCCAAGCACCAATCAGCCCCACCTCGGCTGTTGAGGATGATAGCCTTCGTCGGCTGATGGTCACTCAAGTCGAAGTCTACCCTGCACACCTCAACCACCCTGAGGTAAGATGCCAACCCTTGGCCACCTTTCAGTGGCATCAAGGTTGCAGAGCAACAGGCGCAGACCCGACAGGTTCGCAGTATAATAGATATGCTGTGTTCAGTACCGCGGATCATGCTAAGGTGCGGCCGCTACCCGGGTCCGGCTCTTTCGATGAGATTGTCTTCGATTTGCTTGCAGAGTATCCCGGATTGCGCTCCATTCGTTTGTTGAAAAACAGGCTTGGAGGTTTTCCTGCAGCACAATTTGTAGTTGCACAAAGATCGGATCCCTTGGTGATGCCACTCATCCCCGTGGATTTCCGACCATTGCAAGGCCGTGTTTGCACAGTCGCCTTTCAGGCGAACAGCGGTCAACGGCAGGCTTGTGATCGATGCACTGCACAGTGCCCTCAGAACCGACTGCCGCCCGGACCCTTCAGCTTGCAACTACCTGATGGTGAGCGGCTGCATGAGGTCACGCCTGCCCTTCCTGATTTTCTTTCAGCCTTGCATGAAGCAGAAGAGGATGATGAATCGGCAATGCTGACGAAGACATGCACACCTTCATTGCGAGACGGACGTCGGCTCAAGGATCCCAGAGAGCCTGTGAACCGACTCAGGGACCAGTCACTTAAGCAGGCCCCGCATGGACTCACTCAGAGCAAGGTGGCGCTACCCCGCCGGCCGGTGCTTACGCCGCCCGGCTCTTCTTCTGCGCGGCCCCCACAGGCGCCACTACGTCCCACTGAGATCGCATTCATCAGGGCTGCGCGGGCCACTGTTTTTCCGCCTGATCTCGACGGGCCAGCGCTTTACTTTCCGCTTGAAAGGATCATCTTGGAGCTCCGTCCACAGATCGACCCACAAGGGCGTGGCCGTTATACAGTCTTTGAGCCAGGGGCGCGACCAAGAGTGCGCGCTTGCGGGGCGGACTGGGTGCTAGGAGATTTCGCAGCGGACGCAGCTGGGTCAGCGCTCTTTCCAGTGCGTTCGATCCAGTTCATTACACGGCCCCTCCATGGCCACCCAATTCCGCAAGTTGTGCTCTCTCCTACGACAGCACCCGCGCTGCACTACGCAGTCGTTTTCGATCTCCGTAGCCAGGGCTCTGACGTCGTCACTGCTTGCATTCCACCAGCGCTTCAGCTCGGGGAACTCGAGCCATTCGTTGCAGCGGGGGCACCGATCCCGGCATTGTTGAGATTTCGACAGGGCCCACCTCAGGCGCTCATCGACTCGGCAGATCGGCAGCATGGGTCAATAACCCCTCCATTGGCCAAGTTTGAATGGGTGATCCTCCAGTTCGGGCTTCAGGAGCAGGAACTTCCGGTAACCATTGCAGTGGACGAAACGGAGGCAGTAAGGTTAAGAGACCCTGGCTTGACGATGAGGCAAGCAAACACCTCTCAGATACCAGAAAGCAGGCGAGAAGCCGTCTTGCCGGGCGACCCGCCACCTTCGGCGCACCCACGACGAATGGCTAATCCGGCTGCAAAACCCACGTGCGAGTGCTTGCCTGAGGACCTGTTTGCTATTGAGCAGAGCGTTGCAGAGACGCTCCAATTTCCCATCGTTCAGCTCACTGGAAGGAACGGTGCACCGTGTTTCCCGTTTACGGTTCTGTCGTGGCACCAAGATCCGAAAAGACTAACAGCGGGTATGAGCTGGTCTTTGCACCAGCTCGCCGTCGTTGCCCAAGCTGCAGCATGGGATGATGTTATTAGGGCAATCCACGTGGTGCAGAGCCCCCTTCCAGGGCTCGCTTCTCCACAGCTTGTTCTGACACCTGCCAATGTGACTGCTCCATGGCGAGTCTTGCCGATTGATTTAAGACCCATCGGCGGGAGTGTCTTCCCAGTGCCAGTTGAACCCGAGATGCACATCCAAGATATTTTTGAGTCCATTCTCCCCTTTACCACCACGGATGTGGCAGTGCAGCTTCGATTGCAAGGGGAGTCAGCGCCATTCCTGCAAGATCAATTGGGAGCAGTGCTGACCAGCCTTCCTGCCAGCATTGAACATCTCGAATGGATCGCCGTGCGCACCAGGGGAGGGCATCCCTCCTGCGGCGCAGGTGGCTGCGGCACTACCAGCACCACCACCCTCATGCGCCTTAGGGAAGATGAGAGGCTTAGCTTCACCCTGGTCCATGGACCCAAGGTGCTACGCACGTCTCCGCAGCTCGCCACAGCCGCGCGCCCCGAACAAGCATTGGCGCTGCTAGTGGGCACATACGCCCGTCAGACACGTCTCCCAGATACGGGTACCATTCATATGTTGCACGCTTTCCCCCTAAGAGAAGAAGGGAACTTTATGGTGCCGTTTGTGCTTGCCCGAGGGTTGGAGGACACCATTGCAGTCATCATTGACACCACCCTCAATGGCAGAGGCATGTACTCCATCGAAGCACCGGTGGGCACGTGGGCCGAGCAGTTGCTTACCCAAGCACAAAAAGAGCAGGAATTGACATTCCTCTGCAATGGCATGCCCCTTCACGCGGTGCGACGGCCGCTTGAGATGGGCGACTACCTCCAGCTTGTGCATATCAATACGCTCGGGCAACCCTCTGTGACTCCTGCCACATATTTGATGCATTGCGTGCAATCCCTGCGATTGTGGTCCCTGCCAGTCGCGTTTCCCCCCCTCGCACATGTCAAAGGGCCACTTGGCACTGAGCTGGCGGAGCGCAACAACAGAGCCTTTATACGGTTCTTTCAGGAGCTCGCAAATCGTCGACTTGACATCTTTGGCAGGTTCGAACATGGCTGCAATTCATTGTGGCTGCTGAGTGCGCGGCACCCGCCGTTCCAGTTTGCCATTGCTTCACCATATCGGCCGACCCTCGAGGAAGCCCAGGAAGTGTTTCGGGCTTCGGGCATCTTCACTCCGCAGGATAGGGTCATTGAGGCCGAGCGTGCTATTAGCATTAGTGGGACAGCATTTGTTCGTTTCAGGGATGACGACCAATTTGTGACTGCCCTCATGCCTGCACCTCTGCAGCCAGAGTTCTTCCATACTGCCGCCATAGCCAACTCTGCCCCCCCGCCGCTTCATTTGCTGCCACGATCTCAGTACACTACAGCATTTGCTCCTTTTCCGCTGTCACAGGGAGTTGCCTACTCCCTCATGGTGCCTACTGCATCTGCAGCGAGCAAAGCCGCGCGTACGAGACCTCGGCCAGCTTCTCTTTCGGGAAGTTTGAGCCTTCTGCAGCACAAGGCTGTCTTAAGGAGGGCCACCATAGCCACACCATTTGGAAGGCGCACCCTCCCGCAAAAGCCGCTTGACGGAGCTTCACCGCGGGTGAACGCAGTTGAAGACCCCGAACATCCTCCAATTGTCCAGCTTGAATTGTGCGGCTCCTGGAGCCGAGGACCATACGGCTCGGACGCCTCTGAGCCGTTGTGCCAGTCTGCAATGCGGGGTGACTGCCGACATGTTTGATTTCGTCTTTGCCCCATTCGGTCGCGGCGTCTTTGATCTGGATTGGCTACAGATTACTGACATGCCTCAATGCTCGGGCGACTTTGTTAAGACCTTGTCCAGGGCTGATCCCACTCGCCCATTGGAGGCCCTTCAAATGTATGTTGATGGCTCATTCTTTCCGGACCAGGGCAAGGGAGCTCGAGCCGGATGGGCGATCATTGCATTAGGCCTACAAGGCAGCCGCTGGTGTTGGGTTGGCATCTGTGCTGTCGATGCCCCGATCCAAGGATCTCCTCACACACTAGGCACGGCAGTAAGGTCTTGTTTCGAAGCTGAGCTATCAGCTATCGGCTTTGCTCTGGCAGTCGCGATTGCACACCCCATCCCCGTTATGATTGGGTATGATTCGACCTCAGCTGGGGACCTGGCACAAGGATTTGCGACGGCAGAATTGCAGACTGCTCTATCGGACGCCATCGTGTCAATGTCACACCTCTTGGACGCCTTGGGGAGACGACCCCACTACCTTCACATCCACTCTCACCAGCAGCATCCATTAAACGAGCTTGCCGACAAAGCCGCAAAAGCGGCAGCCTGCCAGTGTATTACCAGCTCGCTTCCCACATCCCTCGCAGACGCGGCTGCGGAAGGAGTTCTCAGTTGGTTATGGTTAGCCATTGGGTCGTGCCCTTCCATCCCTACCTTGAGCCAAGGTGGCGAGCTTGTGGACGAGACAAAGCCCACCAAGGGTCCCTCCCTGGCCCAAGTGCTTGGTGACCCACCTTGTCCCGGAGAAGCTACGCTCCATTTCAAGGTATGTACATACAACTGTCTGTCGCTGGCTTCCCAAGCACAGAAAGAATCATTGAGCCGGCAATTTCAGCAACTGCGGTTTAGTATCATTGGCCTGCAGGAAACACGCTGTTGTTGTGACTCCAGACAGCATCTGCAAGACTTCCATGTGCTTGGCAGTGATGCGCACCAAGGCCAACTAGGATGCCAGATTTGGTTTTCAAAGAAGATACCTATTGGCAAGCTTCGGGGCGAGCCCCTCTACTGGGATGCTGCGGGGTTCAGTGTTGTCGTACGCAAGCCCAGAAGCTTACTAGTCTTAGCCAAAATTGGGTGCTTCAGGATTGCAGTTCTCTCACTGCCAAAACCCCCGGCAGGGGAACGCACAGCATGGTGGGCCGACCTCCACCACACGTTCTCAATGATTCCATGCAACTGCGTTCCGATCGTCCTTCTTGACGCTAATGCCAGACTGGCTTGCGCAGAGGGCATGCCCTCAGACAATGCCAGCATGCTGCGCAGTTTTCTCCGCAGACACGAGCTATCCCACTCAGACTGTCTCGATGCAAAAGACAAAGAGATAGAGACATGGATCAGTCCAAATGGTCAGGGATCATGCATTGACTACGTCTTGTTTCCCGAGACTCTTCGAGAATGCAGCAAATCTCTTGGACCTGTCGTGGGTTTTGAAGGTCTCGTTGAGCATGACCACAGGCCGATAGCCGTTGAGTTCTGCATGCAGCAGCGCGTCTCGAAGGCAGCTACAGAGACGCGACTGAACTTCCAACATCTGCGGACACCTCAGGGGCGCCAGGACCTCCAGAGAATGCTATGTAGTCTGCCAGCCATCCCGTGGGATGCAGGTGTCGACGAACACCTTGCTTCTATCAATTCGCATATCAAAAGAGGACTCTCGCTCATCTGCCCTAAGCTTGCAAGGGGTGCGAGGCGGCCCATTACCACCGATGGCACATGGCTCGCTATCCAGCACCGACGGGAGCTCCGCCGCGACGTCCACCGGCAGCGTCTCCTTGTGCGGCTTTCGTGGATGCGGGACTGCTTCCAGTCATGGCGCCGTGGCCGGAGAGAGGTCTCATATGAGACGCACTTACAGGGGATGCACCTAGGACTGCTAAGCCTGCAAATCGGCGCTACCAATCGCCAAATCTCCCGGCTTGCCAAGCACGATGCCGCCGAGGCATCGAGACAAATTTTCCAAGACGCTAAGACTCAAGGCCCAGATAGCCTTTTCAGGATGTTCAGGGGTGTCATGAAGGCAGGGAGGAAATACAAGCGGCCCAATCTCGTGCCAGCCCTGATACAAGATGATGGCGTCGTTGCATCCGACTCACAGGCCATTCTGGGCCAACATTTCGCCTCAGCTGAGCGTGCCATTCCAGCGAAAGCCACTGAGATCTTGACACAGCCCGCCAAGGTCGAAATTGTTCTGCTTCAAGCTGTTGATGCCATCAGCCTTCCCCGTCTTGCCCACGCATTCGGAGCTATGGCCACTAGGAAGGCCTCAGGGCTTTCGGGGATTCCTGCCGAAGTCTTCAGGTTTGCTCCAGGCCCATCTGCTGCGGCCCATGCGCCCCTCATATACAAAATGCTGCTCCGCTGCCAATCCCCACTTTTGTGGCGCGGGGGGCGAGCTGCGCCTATTGAGAAGCCGGGAAAGTCCTTGACTATGCCTGGCGGATGGAGATCTATCATGCTCATGGAGCCAGGATCGAAAGGACTAGGAGGCGCATTGCGTAAAGAACTCCTCAAAGGTTTTGATGCCATCAGGGTTCCATGGACAAGGCGGAAGCCGGCCAAATGCACCCATGCAGACGGCAATGGCTCAGGTTCGAGGTTTCCTCACTGAGTTGCATAGTCGACAGCGTTCTGGGGGAGTTGTGTTTGTTGATGGCCAGACGGCCTTTTATGCCACTATTCGACAGGGGCTCACAGGACAGGATGCCCGCTCTACACTCACATTCCTCAACGATCTGGCCACGGCGTTGTTTGATGACGAACCCTCTCGGGACCGTTTCATCGCTTCCGCTACTGCTCCAGGACTTCTTGCTCGCTGTGATGTGCAGCTCGAAGTGAGACGCCTTATTGCGGCATCACTAGACCAGACGTGGTTTAGCATGGGTTTCCACGGCGAAGATGCCTTCATAACCCGTACTGGCACGACGCCAGGCGCACCACTCGCCGATCTCACCTTCCAATACGTATTCTCTACCGTGTTGGAAAGGTTGAAGGCTCGTTTTGCGGAGATCGGGTGTGTTGCCACGGTTGGAAACCATCAAGACATCCAGGTTCCAGCGCCCACGTGGATGGACGACCTGGCCATTCCATTCACGACAGAGAAGGCAGATGAGGTTGTCCCAACAGCTGCCCTTGCTCTTGGAGAAGTGGCCACGGCCCTCAGAGAGGCAGGAATTGCCATAAACTGGGGCTGCGGTAAGTCAGAACTTTTGCCCATTTTCTATGGGCCAGGGGCCAAGACAGCCCGCACCAAATGGTGCGCCACAGAAGGGGCAACCTTTCCGGTCACCTTGCCCGACGGGTCGATCACATCAGCCCACATTACACCCGCGTATGTACATCTCGGCTCACTTGCCGACATGAAGGGAGGGGACATTGAGGACATTCGCCGCCGGCGTTTGCTTGCACGGGAGCTCCTGCGTCCGCTCATGAGGCTCCTATGCAACCCGTTTCTCGATGCAAAAGAGAAGACGGAGCTTCTTCTATCCATGCCAGTCGCCCGATTTAAGCATGGAGCAGGGCTATGGCGGCTCAGCAAGAAAAAAGAGCGCGAAGCTTTCCATGCAGGATACATGGAGCTCCTACGGAGGTCTTTTAGACCAATCACAGGATGCTCCTCTAGGGGACTCACAGATGAGGACATCTGTGATGGACTCGGGGTGTTAAGCTCTGCGGAGCTACGCACTGTCGAGGTTTGCAGACACGCAGCATGGCTGTGGGCGGACGAGTCTGAATCCATCCGTGCTCTATGGCTCCTAGAGGGTGAGTGGCTTGACGAGGCAAAAGAAGCGACTCGCCGTTGTGCCCGCTCCTCCCTCTCTAGTACAGATGCCTGGGATGCGTTGCTCTCCCGCCCTATTGCAGCAAAGGCCTGGATCCGCAGCTACATCAAGGACAGGAGGGCCGACAGAAGCACCTGCGGAGCAGCCAAGCTTCCCCTCTGGCAGGCATTGGAATCTGCAAGACAGCAGGGATGGATCTTCTGCAAACTCGAACCCTCTAGGCATACCAATTCGGCTCACAAGTGCGAGATATGCTGCCAATCTTTTCGCACTGCCGCGGCCCTTGCATCGCATGCCAGCAAGATGCACGGAGATCGAGCCAAAGCTAGCCGACTTGCCGGAGGGAGCAGATGTGAGGTATGTGGCACTGAGTTTTGGAGCACTCGCAGGTTGGTTGAGCACCTGCGAAAGTCCCCTACATGTTTGCAAGTGCTCGATGCCTCCGATGTTGTTGTCCCAGAAGTCGTATCGCAACGATTTCACTTCGCATGGCCACCAGCGGCGCCTGCACAGGGACCCAAACCTTTCTGGGCCACTCTCCGCCCCCAATGCAGGGAAGAGCCCATCCGCCGCCCTTCAGCTAGCATCAGCTGGCCAGTTTTGCCAAGCGCTTCACGTGGTGTCGCCTCCAAGGATTTGCCTGCCTTTGTCAGGCACCTTGTTGAGATAGGGCTTGCACACTCCCCTGATGATGACGACTTGCCCCTTCACCTACTCAGCGCTCCGGCCTGCTTTCGAGGGATAGTGGATTGCTGTCTTTTCGTAGCAAGGTCTTCCCCAGCGCAAAGCGCGGGATGGACGGCATTTGGCAACTGGGCCGTAACACGGTCCGTTGATAAGGCCGTCTTCAAGCCGATCAAGGCTACTTTTTGCGAGAAACTTCCTGCGGCTTGGCAGGAATGTTTGCCGCCGTGATTTGCTTGTCGGACCTATGCATGCGAGTGCACTCAGACGAGTTCAGCCAACCATTCCAAAAAAAACCCTAAACCTTAAACCCTAAACTCCTAAACTCCTAAACTCCTAAACCCTAAACCCTAAACCCTGAACCCGAAGCGATGCCTCCCGGGAAACCTCGAAATCCCATGTAAAAACAGGTCGCAGTACAAACCCCGAAAACGTGCAAAAACCCAGGGACCGAAGTTACCGAATAAATCTCGAGCTCTCCGGGCCTCCAGAGATCCTAAACCCCAGGCCTCACATCTTCATTCCAAAAAATCGCAATTCCGAAAAGCAAATAACAAGGGTAGTTGTCAAAATTAAGGTCCCTTTTTGGGTGCCCTAAATAATAGGTGCCGTATTATATTAGGGACCCAAAAGGGGACCATAATTTTGAAAACAACCCACCAGAAACTCTAGCTCTGAAACACCTGTTCCTGAGCCCCTGAAACCGATCTCTGAACCTTGTAATTGCCTGCTAAAACCAGAAACACAGTCCCAGTCCTAATTCCTGACTGAAACCCCAAGTGCCAAACCCCTGAACAGCACTTCCTTAAAACCTAATGCCTAAATCCCGAATTCCTAACCCCTGAACAGTAACCTCGAATTCTGAACATCTAAACCCTAACTGGCCCTAATTCCGAAAAGCCAAGTTCCAAAACCTCTAAACCCTAGCCCTAGACCCTAACTTCTAAGACCTAAACCCCTGTTTCCAAACCGCAACTTCCTCAACGGTGAAACCCTAAAACCTGGTTCCTAAAATCCAAATCCTACATCCTGACACCCAAATTCCAAACCGCACTCGTAATTCCCCAAATTCTAGATTTTAAACCTTAACTCCTAAAGCCCTATACCCTAATTCCTTAAAGCTAAAAACCACCTGTGGACCTAAACCCTACAACAGATGAGGTTACGATCCCGTTAATGCTTTTCGGATTCACAGGCAAACCCATCTGGGCCGCCCTGCATTCCCGCCAAAGCCCCGGAGGCCATGGCAACTGAATACGGCGAGGCGAGCTGTCTCGAAGCCCTGAAACGAAGGCATTAGGGTTTGTGGTTTAGGGTTTAGGGCAAGAAGGATGAAAGGAAAGAAACCTAAGCCCTTAAGCTTAAACTCAAACCCCTTAGGGTTTAGGGATTCTGGGTTTTGGGGTTTACGATTTAGGCTTTGGGGCTTAGGGCTTAGGGCTTAAACTTACGGGTGGGGTTCAAAAAACTAGGGGCACCTTGTTTTCTTAAGTTCTACGAAGAAGCCGGATCCTCCTCTGCAGGCTCTGCCCCGCATCTTCCGAAACAGCTTCTTGTACCCGGGGGTGCTCGAGCCCTTCAACTTACCTTTGGTTAGTAGGGAATGGAGGAATGGGTACAATTATAACTACTATTACTACCATTCTTCCATTCCCTACTAACCAAAGGTAAGTCAAAGGGAACCGCATATTTCTAAGTATTAAGGCTTTGGGGCTGCGGGCTCAGCGATCCCTTGGTGAAGCACTCTCAAAGTCACGGCCCTTCATCACGGCCCTTAAAAGGGGTCTCCCTAAGCCTACTTAAAGGATCCTGGGACTTAGTAACTAGGGTTATAACTAAGGTAACTGCACTTATAACTACTTATAGCCCCAACTAAGGTACTTATAAACCTACTTACTAAGTCCGATGATCCTCCAAGTAGGATTGTAGACCATCTCCAAAGCATGACTGGCAGCTGCCGAGCTGGTGCACCCCGGATCCTTCCTGGAGTTCCTGTGAGGCTGGTGTCAGCTTTTTTTTTTATGTGCAGTGACTCTTTCTCCGCAGCAACAGAGGTCTGAGCCTGCCCCAGATTGAGGCTTACACAGAAAAGACCCAACTCACTCTGGGGTCAGCTTGAGGGTTTAGGCTTCAGGGTTTTTTTTTTTTTGAGCACGTTTTTCCACCTAGCAGTTAAGGTCGGCAGAATCCGCATTGCGGAAGGCTACTGCCTGGATTTATGGCCCCCTCAAGCTTGTAGAAGACGTTCGAGCTACTGTTGATCCCGCGATGGTGGTTTCTCGCCCTCACCCTGTTTCTCACCTTCGACTTCATCCCCTTCGCCTTCTCCCTGCGCCGGGTCCAAGGCCGTGTCGGGTGGATGCCACGGCAGCGTAGTAGCCCCACTCATTGCACCCTCGGTCTCGCCCTCGTGGTCTGCCCCATCATGACATACTCCTGGTAATATCCCTTCCATCGTGTCCAGGTCACTTTGCGCGACAATGTCGTGCGTTTCGATGAGCTCGGCCACCTCTGCTCCATAGACACGGCAGATGAGTTCCGTCGTGAGGTCGCCCTTCTTCCACTTGTTGTATAGCCCTTGATATTCCTCAAAGCTCATGTCACGAAGGCCTCCAGCACCGGTGATTGCATCCCCCATAGTTCCAGCGTTACCGGTGACTGCATCTCCCATAGGTCCAACGTTGCCTTCTTGTGCCGTGGGACTCGCCACAGCCTCGGTGGTGACATCCTCGGGAGGTTCAACCATACGAGCACGTATGTGTAGGTCCACAGCGGACCCATTTTCAGGCACATGCAGGGCATAAGTGTGACAGATCCTCGGGGCGTCCCTGCTTCCCGAGCTCGCCTCCACTTCCAGGATACAGCATGTGCGCGGTCGTTTGCGGCTCTGTGTTTTGTCCAACTCTGCTTTGAGGAGCGACCGTTCCCATGCTTGGTATTCGGCCGCCTGCTGCTGGAGAACCTGCAACTCCTGCTCGCGGTAGCCGACCTGTGCATCCTCCATGCCATCAGCCTCGGCGGGGGCAAGGACACCTTCTCCAGGTCCTTGCGAGTCGTTGGCCACCACTTGCACGTCAGAGCTTTCCACTCCTGGCATCACCCCAAGGTTGAACAGGGAGCCAGGCAGAAAGTACTCCAGCTCGTTTGCCCATGAGGAGAGCCAGGCCTCGTTTGCCTCTCCATCTCCGGTCACCTCCGGCTCGAGCATGGCTATGAGGAGCGCCCTTAACTGTTCCCGTCTTTCCTCGATTTGGGTCCACGGTTCACAGGCCGGAAGGGCGCGCCGGATCCGGCGTATGCACGCATTTCTCGTTGGTTTTGGTTGTTCACCCAACTCTTTCTGAAGCCGTGCGAGAGCTCGTGTCCAGCGATCTTCATCCGTGCCACGGCCACCTGTCAGCATGAACTTTTGCATGAACCCTGTGTGCTCGGTTCCAGTGTCCGTCTCGTTGGGCTCCACCTCGATCGTTTCTCCATCAGCAACCCTGCCTCGTACTGTTCCAGCGTGCATGAGGCCACCCACCTCGGCCATCACGAACCGAAGTACTTCCACAAAAGCTGCAGTAACGAGGCTTCAGGGTTTAGGGCTTAGGATTTAGGGTTCTTTTGAGCTCCTTTTTGATGCCTGCAATCCAGGTTTGCTACACCAAGGCCACATGGGCCAGGAGGCAAGGGGTTTAGGGTTTAGGGCCTTGTTGGGGTACTCCTTCTCCAACTCGCTGGCGTCCACGGTCCACGTTCGGCCACCGTCTCGCTTCCCACGACGCAGCGATCTTGTTAGGGTGCTTTCCGAACGTCCCTGCACGAGTTATTTTTCGAATGAGCTCTGAGCGGTGATCCCCAGACTCCTTCTGCATCGCCAGGGCAGCTTCCTGGATCCGAGCCCTCAACACTTAACCAGCAAGTTCTCGGATCACCTTGGCTCCAAGGATCTTCGGGGACTTTGCTCTTGACCTCGTCGCTAATTCCGGATTCATCGATGCCTTCGACCTTGGAAATGGCTCTCCGCATGCAGTGTGCACATCCGATTCTGCGACAGCTTACAAACAATTGCATTTAAAGATAGCATGAAGGACTTCTCTGGGTTGGCCTTTAAACACCCTGAAAATATTTATATACAGGGTCCCCTATAAACCCAAATAAGGAAAATAAAAATGTCCCAAAATCCAACCTAGCTCTTCAAATGGCTTAGGGCTTAGGGTCCAAGGTTTTAGGGTCAAGGGTTTCGGCTTCAAGACCTCGGGTTGGGGAAGACCTTTTGGGGTTCAGTGCTTAGCATAATCTAGAGCCTAGGGATCCGGAGGCCCCTAAACCCTAAACCCTATACTAAACACTAAACCCTAAACCCTATACTAAAACCCTAAACCGCTAACTCTCTGCGCCCTGGCACTAACGCCCCGAAGCTGGAAGCCGCCTCAACTTTAAATCAAACGGGTTGAGGGTTTACTTGGAGGATCATGGGACTTCGTAAGTAGGGTTATAAGTACCTTAGTTGGGGTTATAAGTAGCTATAAGTGCAGTTACCTTCGTTATAACCCTAGTTACTAAGTCTCAGGATCCTTTAAGTAGGGTTTACTTAGTTGCTGAGTTCATAAGCTCCCAAGAAGTGTACACTTTCAGTTTTATAGAGGGTAATATTATCCCAGAAAGTGTAAAGTGTATCCACTCAGCTACTAAGTTTATGGTCTCTAAGCATAGATGCTGAAGAGAGAAGGATCGGGATTCGTAAGGACCCCTAGCTGTAGGAAGTCGGCGGCAAATCCTAAAAAAAACCCAAGATCTTCGATCGGTCTGCCAAAATCCCAGACCCTGAAACTTAAACCCGTTGGGCTTTAGGGCTCAGGGTTTAGCGTTCAGGGCTTAAGGGTTTAAGGTCTCGAAAATGCCAATAACGCCTCCGCTGGATGTAGTGAAGCGTCGACTCCCATCCAACCTTCCCAACTTACAGTAAACCCCATAAAGTTGGAAACCGGATTAAGGCCAAAT